ATGGCAAAACCATGTTACTTATCCTCTACCCTCAAAATTATCTCATTAGTATCAAAATATAGCAAGGCTCAGCTTGTAGATAAGAATGGTCTTCCTAGAATTATTAGCATATGATATGCCTCTTCTATATCGAGGATGATGAAGTCAGCTGGAAAAATAAATTCTCCCACCTTGATAAACATGTTTTGAACTATTCCACAGGAGTGTTTTAATGATCTATCCGTTAGTTGAAGGATGATCGGAGCGACCTTGGGATCTCTCAATCCTAATTTCCTGTAAAGAGGTAGGGAAATTAAGATAATACTAGCTTCTAAATCAATTAAACAATTTATATTATGAAAATTTCCTATGGAGCAAGGTAGACTAAAACTCCATGGATCTTTAAGTTTGGGAGGGATCTTGCGTTGAATGATCACGCTGCACTCCTCACTCAATGCTACTGTTTCATCTTCTGGCAGCTTTCTCCTTTTAGTTATCATCTCATTAAAAAACTTAACATAATTTGGAATTGTAGAATAGTATCAAAAACAGGAATGTTGATGTGAAGTTCTCCGAGGGCGTTCAAGATATTCTTAAATTGTTTGTCAAATTTATTGTTCTGCAACTTTTGAGGGAATGGAACTAAAGGTGTGTGTTTATTGTCAAGAACGATTACCTTGACCTATAGATTGTCTGACTATTCTTCTTAATTAACATTTGATGATTTTTTAGACTGATCCACTTGTTATTTCCCCATGGTAGGTATTTGATTCTCCTCGGTCCCCTTTTTCTTCACTGTGATATCCGGCTGTTGAACTCGTTTCTCTTTGTGATATCCTGGACTTGTTCCTTTTTAGGCTGTCTTTGAAGCTTTTAAGGGAATGGAATAGGTAGCACATAAGCTCGAATAGGTGTAGCAGGCTTGATCAGTGGTGTCTTGATAGTTGCATAATTCACAACTTCAACTGCTGATACCTGCTCCTTTGGGTTCTCTTCTGTATCGCTCGGTAAGGCACCTTGTGGTCTGTTGGCTAATGCAGCTACTATCTGTCCCATCTATTTTTCTAAGTTTTGTATAGAGGCTTGTTGATTCTATATCACCGTCTCAGTCTTAGTGGTGTACTTGACAAGTAAATCCTCCAATAATTGCCTCTTTTCTTCTTGCTGCTGAATCCCTGGTGGATTGCCTCTCATCTGATTTACTTGATCCGAGCTATTAACACACGAGTAGTTAGGGTGCTTGTTCAAACTCGGATGGTAGTTGTGTGGGTAAGGTCCATTTTGCCTCTAATAGTTCTGCACATAACTGACCTCTATTGACTGACCTATGTGAGTAGAAGTCAAAGTGCAGCTTGCAGTAATGTGATCGAAGTCAAAGTACAGCTTGCAGTAATGTGATCTACCCTACAACTTGTGCACTTAAGAATTGGAGTTTGTATCATATTCACAGAATTGGTTAAAGTGTCAAGCTTTTTAGTTATTGCCTCCATCTATGCTGTCAACGTTGTCACTCCGTCCAAATTATATATACCAGCTATTTTTCTCTGGATTTCCTTATCGTTCGACCACATCGATTGATTTTCTGCAATTCTTTCAAAAAGGTCCAAGGTATTATCCAATGGAATATCCAATATTAAACCTCCCATGGAAGCATCAGCGATGTTGTGAAATTCAGGTCTCAAGCCGGAATAGAATATGCAGATCTTTGTTTCTTTAAGGATGTTCGGAGTGGAGTACTTCCTGAAATAATCTTTGAATCTTTATCG